TTTTGAAAGGATAATCCATCGTTCTAATGCCATTTAATACTAATGCTATTGTCCGCCCACTGAACTGAAATGTATCTTTATCATATTTTAATTTTTTGTATCATTTTCATCTACTCTGAATTCTCAGTTTTGGTCCACTAATTTGTCTATTTGTACTTAAGAATCATATTTGATTAAGTACTTTTGTAGTGAGCTTTAATGTCTGGTAGAGCAAGTATCATGCTCAATAGTTTTCTAAATGTCTTGATCATTCTAGCAGAAATTTAAAATTATTCATAAAATTTAAAGTTTTTTATTTTGTTCTAAAAAATGAAAATAAATTATTAATATTTGCATTTGAGAAAGGTTAGCATGTTTTTGCTTTTGTATCCTCCATTTTACTTACTCATTTCTTATTTTATGTCATCAATAAGATTTTGTACCTTAGTTTATGTGATCACTTTCCCATTAGAATATAGGCATTTTATTGTTATTGTAATTATTGTACACAGCTTAAATTATTTTCTCTGCTTTGAACTGGTTATTGATGAAGTATAACTCTGGATTTTCCACATGTATTTTGTATCTAGCCATATTCCTAACTTCTCTAATTAGTGTATAAAATTTATTAGACATAAGTGTCACTTGCAAATAATTTCCTCCCCTAGTATTTATAACCTTTACTTTCCTTTATTGGAGAATACAGCTCCAAACCATTGGAGCTGTATAAAATTATATTTTTAGTCTGGGTAGTTAAATTAGCACTTGATCACTTGCAGTTGAATATGTCTTGACCAATGCAAGAGTAATATTCTTGGCAAATACATAATGATTAATTTCTGGTAAAGCATTTCATGTATTATCTCTACACTGTTTCCTTAGGGACAGACTGTATGTGGTTTTCTGTTGTGCTGGCTTCTTACATGATAGCTCTGTTAGTCATCCTCTCGTGTCCTGGCAAGTGTCTGGTGAAAAAGTAACTTTCCCACCAGCTTGATGGAAAAGCAAAATACTGCTCTCCCTGAAAGGATGGGGTCTAGTTTTACCTGTGAGAAAACTAAGCCTGAATTTCTGTTCTTGGCCAAACCAGGCAAGGAGATGGAAGATGCAGGGCTGTAAGAAGTAAAAGACATTCAGAGAGCTTTTTCCCCGCTTTGTCCTCTGTCAGTTCAGTGCCAAGCATGCTCAGACCCCACCTGTGACCTTGTTCTCTTCCCAGGAGTGGAGCCCTGCAACTTGTTGATCACAAGTGGCTCCTGGCAACACCCTGTGGGTTTAGAGCTGTAGAAGCTGTGTATGATTTCATATGACCCATCATATGAAATATTTGTATAAAATATGACATGCATTGAGCCACAATATGTTATGTATATATATGTATAGCTTAATCTGTAAATGTATATGGTTTTATATATCCATTAAAAGATATATGTAGATTTTAATTATGTGAAAAGTTAAATATTTTATAAATATGAGCATGAAACAAGCAAAATTAGCAAACTGGAATTGAAGTCAGAAAGAGAGCCCTCTGACAAGGAACTTGGGTATAGTCCAAGTACAAGAGGAAATTTTTATCAAAGTAACTGTGAGCTGTGTAGATTTTTCTATCTCTATTTCAGAGGGGCAGGCTCTCTTAGAAGACATTTTAGCTTTAGTATTTCTGAGGAACAGAAGCTGAATAGAGACAGCATCTCATCTCTGTAATAAGAAGGAAATATGGCTTAGTCAGAGTGTGTGTGTATGTGTGTATGCACATACATGGTACAAGTGTGTGTGCTTGTGTGCATGCACATGTATGTTTGTCTTAGGCCCTGCATGTGCCCTGTAGCAAAATCTTGAGTTTATCCAGACTGGTTACTGCCAGAGGTGTAATTAAATGTTGCAATAATGATTGTAGATCATCATTCCGAACACTTAAAGACCTAATAAGGAGGAAATCCACTCCCAGTTGTTTTTTTTTTTTTTTTTTTAATTGGTACCGGGGATCGAACTCACGACTGCCTGCTTGCAAGGCAGGCACTTATGCCGCTGAGCTAAATCCCCAGCCCCCCTCCCAGTTGTTTTTAATTAGGGGTGCATTTCAGTCAATGGCTGGGTCCAGCTGCAACCTGGATAGTCCTAAGCATGCGTCGCTGTGGAGTGCTGGGCCTGGGGTACAGTTAGTTACCCAGTAACAGAAGACCTCAGGTTCCTTACCCTGACATCCATATGCCTCATCTCTACACATGGCTGCCTCCCTGTGTAGACAACAGGTTTCTTGGGAACTGTCTTGCCTCTGGTAGTAAAATTTGCCTAGGAAGGTTAACTTGCATCTCATGGTCTCAGTCCTTCCAAAGATGTGAATTGTTCTTGGTGGTTTTGGTGATCTTACACAGTGACATGCACTTGGCTCTTTTTTTATTATTTAACATGAAGAGTCCTTCTTAATATTGCTTGCCTCCATGTGCCTGGCTGAGTGCTGGGCATGTAGCCCTAATCCAGTGGGCATGGCTCTTTGCCTGCTAGCAGCTGGCTGCATCATGGAGAGGCAAGCTTCTAGGAGTAACAAATTGAGAAACATCCTCTGAAAGGAAAAGAAGGGTGCCTTGCAGATGATCACAGGGTGCCTTGCAGCACAAGGAAGACCTGGAAAGGCAGTGTGTCAAGCAGATGATGGCAGGGCTCCACAGTGCTGAGTGTCGCAAGTTCTTTAGTGTTTGGAACCCTGGCATACCTCCTCCTCCCATCCTGCATCCCAGGGTGTCTTTACTAAACACAAGCGAGTGAAATTCTAGTTTATGTCTTTTTTGAGTAATCCTTCTGTCATGCCTTCCTTAGTGGCCTGTGCCCTCTTTACTGTTTCTGGTCTCCTGGGACTGCCAGCTATCTTACTATCAGTTCTCAGGAAGTTATCAATTCAGCCCATGTAGTAGGACAAGTGCCCTGTGGAGATGACTCTGCACTGCCCAGTCCATCACTGTGATTCAGACTTGCCCACTGTGAACCTGCCCCGAGGCCTGAGCCTAGAGCACTCAAACTTCTGCTGTTCCCAGCCTGTCACATGCATTAAGTTGCCCTTGTAGCCCATATCCATGATGCTTATATAACCATTCAGCCATGGTGGATGGTCATGAATAGTTGTTTTTATAACTATTTATTAAAACTTTAATTTGATTTTGCCATTTTGTTATTCTGGATTCAACATATTTAATTTTTAAGTCTCAAATGTTTCACAGGTCCTTTGAAATCCTGTAGGTCCTGGCTTTGCTATTCATGATATGTGGATTCAGGAGTCTGTAGGAGTGAGCCCCTCTGTAGGGTCCAGCTTTCCAGGCACCTGCTTCTGCTTTTTACATGGAATTGTTCCCATGCGTACCTTTGGTTCTCCTGTCTACCCAAAATGCTAGGTATTCTCCATAGAAATTAACTTTACCCCATGCTCGCTCCTTCATTCCTTTAGTGTATGGCCCATGCCTCAGTCATTGGTTTGTGGTAATCCCTGCAAAACATTTGGCCTCTTCCTGAAAACTCAAGTGAATCCCCATACCAGAGAACACCTTGAGTCCCACAGCGCATCAGTGACAGAATTGGGCCTTCAGGCCGTGTCCCCTTTAGGAACCATTCTTATGATAACAGACACAACAAATTCTTTTCTGGTATCCAGTGGGGACACACACACACACACACACACACTTCCCCCCACAACAATAGTGTAGTCAAACCTCATAAAGAAAAAGAAGTATTTCTAACACCTAATGTATCTTAATTTTCTTTCTTTCTTTTTTTTTTTTTTATTGGTACTGGGGATCGAACTCAATACTGCCTGCTTGCAAGGCAGGTGCTTATACCATGGAGCTAAATCCCCAGCCCCACTTTTTTTTCTATTTTTTTTTATCTCTCTCTCTCTCTCTTTCTTTTTTTTTTTTTTTTTTTAAAGAACATAATATTATTTATTGAGAGAAAGCTCTGTCAAAGAGGACAGAAGGGGTCCCAATGGGGTGCCAAAGACTCTCTTTTCTAGGGATTTTTATATGGTACAACCACAAAGTGAGGCAGGTCTAAGGTGGGAAAACATGGGAATTCACAAGGTGAGCATGAGATGGGACAAAACTATGATCAATCAATAAAACTAATTGCACAGGTAAGACTGATGAAACTGGGGACAGGTGGAGAAGTGAGTCACATAGAAGCAGGCATACACAAAGAGCAGCCAGCCACTCTTCCTGTAGGGGGTTGGGATGATGACTCCTGGCTTCCTGGTGTCTTCACTTTCAAGACACCATCCTACTGACCATGTGAAGTGATATTGGTTCCTTTCCTTCATCTCCTGCCTCTACTTCATATCTCTTTGGGCTTGGAGGGAATAAGAATGGACACACAGACAGGTGGGATGATTTTTAGAGCAAGGCTTTACTAGGAAGGGCCCAGGCCATGGACCTCAGCAGAATGGGGGATCCAATATGAAGAACGCAAAGGTTGAGCTCCTCTGGCTTCTTCACCTTCCACTGGCTTGCTTAAGGACATCTCTCTGCAGGCGTCCTTATTGTTTTTGAAAGGCATCCTGCCTAGCTCTTCCTGAAGGCGGGCCTTTCACATTGTGTCCCTTGTAACTTTCCAGGGTCTTTATGCTATCTTGATGGAGCCAAAAGCAGGATGCTGTCATCTTCCTGCCTCTGATCATTCTGAGTAGGAAACTCTGCTGATGTCTCCCAGTGGAGGGGCCTGAGAAGCTGCCCCCAGCTTGGAGGGACCTGAGTCTTTGCAAGCCCTGAGCCATGCATTTGTATCTCGCTTGTGTCTCTGGAGCCAGCCCTGCAGTTTAGAAGGCCCCTTCCATCCTGTTTTTTAGGATTCTTTTCCTTTGTCATGCCCCCGCCTACAGCCAGTACCAAGGTATGGGTCAGGGCATGTCTCAAGGGACTGTCTGTGTGGCTGGCTCTGGCAAGTCTGTCCTAATAATTCTAGGGGCTGCCTTCTGTGGGAACAGCCAAGTTTTCACACCCCCGCCCTCTGGATCCTCCCTCAGCATTATGCAGAATGCAGAACAAACATGACCTTCCCTCCTCCCTGCCTTGGTTGAGAAATCCAAGCTGAGGAAATGAACTCCTGCCTGCTTGGTGGGTGGCAGGACTGAAAGCAGATCCAGGCTCTTTGACTTCCCATGCTGCTGAGACTCTCCTTGTTCAGGCCTTGACTTCCTAAAGGCAAGTATAGATTATGTATTTGGATATACAATAAGGAATATATACTCTGGCTTGTGTCCATTTCCCGCCCCTGGCTAGCATTCAGCAAACTCTTGTGATTTCTTTAGTGCTGTAGAGATAAAGGAAGATTGAGCTGTTATGTACAAGAAGCCCCTTTAACCATGTCTGGAATCTTTTGGAATTCTGTAAGGATGGGAGTCAGTTTTCAGGGGAACCAACTTCGGGATTAGAGAGAGGGGAGGGGAAAGGGACTGAGAGTTGAGTTGCTCATTCATGGCTGATGATGTAATCAATACCTATTCAATAAAACCCCCAAAGGACCAGCTGTGGAAAGCTTTGGGTTGTGAAGAGGGGGTGCTCCATAAGTGTGTGCAGATCTGGGCCCCTTCATCCATATCTTGCCTTTGTCCTTCCTCATCAGCCATTCATCTGTAGCCTCCATAATGGCCTTTGTAGGAAACTAGTAACTCAGAGAGCTCTGTTGTTTTTGCCTTTGTGCACCCTTCTAGCAAAGGATTGAACACAATGAGAGGGAGCAGAAACCTCTGGTCTGTAGCCAGGTCACATTGAAATTAGTGTTAGAGGTTGTCTGCCAGGACGCAGTCCTTACTGAGCCATAAAGTCTGAGAATAAAGTAAGCAAACCAAGAGTGAATTTATTCACTCAGTATATATTGAGTATCCAATGGATGCCCGGGTGCTGGGGCTATGACAGAGAACAAAGTAAACATCCATCCCTCAAAGAGCCCGCATTAGTTAGAGGAGAAACACAGTAAGTAAACAACAGGTTAGGAGGTAAAGAAAGAGAAGGAAAGGGGCTCCAGAGCGATGGGCTGAGCTGTTTGATAACAGATTTGCCAGGGGAGATCAGGCACAGACTAAACCTGGAATGAAGGGAATGAGTAGGCCATGTGAATCTTTGGGTATAGAGAGCATCTCAGTTAATGTTATCACCCAGGGCAGAGCTGGCCAATCATAACTGCAGCCTGTGGCTGGTTTACTTTAGAACACAGTCACATCCGCTGTTGGGTGTTATGATAGTTATTTGCCCATTTCAGTGGCAGAGCTGGATTACTATCAAAGAGTGGCCTCTGAAAACTAAAACATGTACTCTTTAGACCTTTGCCAAAAATCTTTTGTAATGCTTTCCTAATCCAGAATTGAGAATCTCAGAATATGTTCTAGGAATCCTGGGTACATTTGGGTCCCCTTTAGCGTGTGTGTGTGTGAAGCTGAACTATTACTGGGATTATAATTCAGTAGTATTAAGAAACTCTTTGCTCCTTTCCTGCTGTTCTTCTCCTGAGGGTACAGTAGAGTTTTCCAGAAGTACAAGTTGTATGACTCATATTGTAACAGATTAAATAAAGATCAAAATAAATAGTAGATAATAAGAGGTAAAGAGATCTCTCTAAAAGGGGAAAAGGGCCAAGAAATGGCGAGAAAGGGTAGAGAAAAGAGGGAAAAGCAAAGAAATTGAGATGTGTTATGTACATGTGCTGACTCCACATAGGAATGAAAATACTATGTACTCAAACATGGGCTAATAAGACGCTTTTAAAAATTTTAAAAGAGTAAAATAGGAAAGTGCACTGTCATCTTTGCAGCCAAACATCACAAGAACTTGTAAATAGTAAAATAATGTCACTCTTCAGACTAGTTTCTTTTCATTTGGGAGAAAAATAGTTATTTTAACACCTAGAAGTGATTTCTGCTGACTCATAACGGGTACATTCTTGCTAAACATATAAATGAGGAAGTCATTTTATAAATGTGTCAGCTTTGATTTATTTCTGAAATAGCTGACTTGGATAAACATAAGCCACATAAACAGAAGCCTTTGGGGGCTCCTGAAGTGTTGGATAAGTGTGTTAAATAAACTCTCCAGGAGGAAATGTGAGGACCCCAGTCTTGCAGAAGGAGTAAATGGAGACATTTGACCTGAAGTTCCACACCATTTCCCTGGAGGGCAGGAGAAACAGCGATAATAGCCATCTCCCAGCTCTAGACCTTTTTAGCTGCATGGTAGGGGAGTGTCCTGTGATCTAATCTTTACAATGAAAGTGAATTTGTAGACTTCTGGGAAAATGGCAGAGTGGCGAACAGCAGAAAAAAAGGCTTCTTTGAGATTTGATGTCCAGATGCTGGAATATAGCAATGTGAGGACGAGAAAGAGGGGAGGATCTAAGTGCGGACTGAAGCCCATGGGGAGAATGAAGAGGGAGACTGACTGAGTGATTTGTACTCAATCTAGAGCAGCACAGAATATTAAAGAGAGGAGGCAAGTAGATAAGAAAAGAGTTTAATAAGCGGGGAGGGTGTGCAGGGAGTCACCCAAGGAAGGCTGTGGTGGCTCTCCTTGCAGACAAAGGGCAGGTTCTGCCTGATACAGGCTCTGATGGAGGTAGGGCTCTGGGGATGGATGTGTGCTGATTTACTTTGTGAGAGTGCAGGGGATTGGGTAAACCTTCACATTCCTGAGCTTTGGTGGACTTTTGGGAGGAAGGAGCCATAGGGACTTTTGGGAAGAGGGAGGTGTGCATTATCAGGGCACAGCTTTGAACTACTGCCCTGATGATTGTGCTGTCTCTCAGACGGGGGACCTCAGTGCAGAAGGAGGAGGCAAGTGAATAAATCAGGTTCTAGCCTCACAGCCAAATCCAGCCTGAACTTCAGAGGGTTAATGATGCTGGCTTGCTGGGATTACCCACTACCCCACCATAAAGCTACAGCTGGCTTGGTGGGATTAATCAACTTGTATCTGGAGTCTGTCTGCCTGTTCTGTCTACCAGTTACAACAGAGCATGCCCTGAAGTCGACATTTTCTTCTTCTTTTTTCTTTTCTTTTTCCCTTAATTGTTTGTTCTTGTTTTTTAAATGAGTGTGAACATTGCTTCTAGTTTTCTTGTTGTTCTGTTCTGTTCTTGTTATTTTTTCCATATCTCTTTCCTTCCTGTCACTTTAAAATGTATGTAATTTTCTTTTGTCTTTCAGCCTTGCTTCTGATCTCGTCCTCTTTTTCTATTTCTCTATCCCCCCCCCAATTCCTTTTAAATTTGCTCCTTTGAAGATAAAATTGCCATATTTAGGGCATATTTACTGTGTACAATTTTCTGTACAAAATCTAAAAACAATTTTGTTTTAGATTTTGTTATACAAACACAAAGATAGTTTATATAGTTAAAGGTAGAAAATTAATGCACCAAATACCAGCACATTCAGCTATATAAAACAAATATTAATGAACATGAAAAACCAAATAAGCACTAATATAATTGTAATGAGAGACCTTCATATCCCACTGTCACAAATAAATCCATTAGGGAAAAAAATCAACAAAAAATATCAGAACTAAACCAAGCTTTTGAATAAATGTCTACAGAGTGTTCTAGACCCATAATTTCAGAATATACATTCTTATTGGCTGTGCATGGTACATTCTCCAGAACAGACCATGCTAGCTCATAGTACATGATTAAGTAAATGTAAAGGAATTGAAATTGTCCCATGAATATTTCAGACTGTAGTGCAATAAAATGGGTAATCAGTGACAAAAGGAACCATAAAAACTTCATAAGCACATGAAAATTAAATAATACCCTTCTGAACAACCAATGGTCCATAGATGAAATTAGAGAAGACGTTAGATAGTGTCAACAATTAAACAATAATGCCAGTACAACATACTGGAATTGATGAGACACAGAGAAAGCAATCGTATCAGGGAAATTTATAGTGATAAACATTCTCATATTGGGAAAACAAAGTGAGCTCAAATAAACAACTTAATATTGTCCTCAAAATTCTAGAAAAAGAAGAGCAGGTCAAATCCAAAACTTGTATGAATGTTGAAGTTATAGTGATCAAAGCTGAAATTAATATAATGGAGACCAAGAAAACAATACAAAGAAATCAAAGAATCAAAGAGTTAATTCTTTGAAAGATTAAATAAAATTGATAAATCCTTAGCTAACCTTGTCAAAAAAGGAAAGACTCAAATCCATGAAATTAGGAATGAAAATGATGAAATTACGTCAGATCCTGTAGAAACCTAGAAAATCATCAATATTTACTTTGAGAACTTTTATTCTAATATGATGGAAAACATGAAAGAAATGGACAGATTCCTAGATATATATGAATTCCTAGATATATATGAAAACTGAATAAAAAAGATACAAAAATTTCTGATAGCCCAATATCAGTCAATGAAATTGAAAATGTAATTAAAAATCTACCAGCAAAGAACAGTCCAAACCTTGATGGATTCAATGCTGAATTCTACAAGAAATTTAGAGAAGATAATATGTCATTACTCCTCAAACTCTTTAATGAAATTGAGAAGAAAGCAATACTCCCAAATTAATTCCTGTAAGCAAGTATTACCCTGATACCAAAATCAGAGAAGGAGCCAACCAAAAACAAGAACTACAGATCAGTATTGAATTGTTTTTCTGGTATGAGAAACCTAAAGTGTAAATGAGGACCAAAATGATAATAGATATTGGGAATGGTAAGAAAATGTCCAAGTGAGAAAGGAAACAAAGGAGGTAGGAATAGGAAAGAAAGGAAGAGACAAGAAAAATAAAAGAGAATAGAAGGAAAAAAATGGAAACAAACTCTTATAAATAAGGATGGGGAGAAGGATTGAAGAGAGAGGAGGGGAATAGGAGAAAAAAAAGAGTTAGGATACATCATGTACAGGTACAAATTCCCTATGATGTATGGGGTCATTTCATTATGTGTATGTAAAATGTGCCAATAAAAAAAGACAAAGAGCAGATTTGGAACAACCAGTTTCCTTCCTTTCCTTCTGTTTCTGCTCTCCTTGGCCTTCTCAGTGTATGGAAGCAGCCTCCTGAGCTCAGATGGAGCTCAGCAGCTTAAATGGAGCATGCATTCTTGTTTTGTGTGTGTGTCTGAGTGGTGCTAGAGATTGAGCCTGGGACCTTCTCACTGAGCTATATCCCCAGCCATTTTTAATTTTTTATTTTGAGACAAGCTCTCGCTAAATCTCTGATCTGTCAAAGGAGAGATCAAAGTCGTGATCCCCTTGCTTCTGCCTGCCAGAGTGCTAGAATTCCAGGCATTCAGCTCCATGCAGGCATGCAGAGTGCTAGAATTCCAGGCATTGCATTCATTCAATTTGATGGAACAAGGTGTCACTCAATCTAGAATTATAAATAATTTCTTTGCCTTTTGATTATTGTAAAGAAATCATGAGACCATAAAGTTTGAGAACAGCTGATCTAGAAATAATCCAATATAATTTTTCTTTGGAAGCTGCCAAAATGTGGCACTCATGGGCAGCAGCCTCAGTTTCTCAGGCTTCATAAAGTGAGGCCACCCCAGCACTCTGGGGTTTGTGGGAGATGATGAGTGGAGCTAAGCATTGAACTGTGTCTCCTGAACCCACCAAAATTTGACCTTTCTTGGATATAGAGTCTTCACAAATGTTACTAGTAAAAAGAGGTTCTTGCTGTGAGTCCTAACCCATAGGACAGGTGTCTTTAAACAATGGAGAAATTTGGACCCAGAGACATGCACCCAGGGAGAACCATGTCCAGGCAAAGCAGAGACCAGGGTGATGCTTCTACAAGCCAAGGTATACAGGAAATTAACAGCACTAATGGAGCAGATTCTCCCTCGCTGTCTTGGAAGGATCAACATGAGGGCCTTGAGCCTCTGGTCTGCAGGGCTATGAAACAATACATTTGTCTAAGCTACACAGTCTGTTCCATGTTGCCATAACCGCCTTTTTAGTTGCTTCACATCCGGCTGGCCAATTCCAAACAGCCAAGTACCCTGTCACTTTGCAGCCTTATTTCCACATTGTTTTCCACATTGTTTTCTTTTGTTTTCCCTCTTTCCTCTTCTTTCCTGTCTCCTTGCCCTGGACTTCTGTCCATGTGGCAGGCTAGACACTTGGTTGTTTGACTTTTTCCAGGAGTTACAGTTTGGCCACAGAGTGCCCCTCGGTTCATAAGCACCTGGAGTCCTGCTGCTTAATTAGAGTCAGAGGAGTCCCTCAGAGAGAACTGCACCCTGTGCTCTGCTTCCGGTCATTCTTCCACCAGATCCTTCGCTCAGATAAATCTTGTGTGAGCTCTGGAGGAGCGAGTGATGCAGCCTTCATGTAATAGATGTGGCAACTGAGTCGCAGAGCAAGGAGGCCATCTAGGGGGAAGGGACAGTTGGCTGCAGAGTCCAGCTCTCCCCACTGTGAAAGTGAAAGCTGTGACTGCAGAACATCTACTGTTAGGGCTAGACTGAGCCGCAGATCATGGAAGACGCCTGGACACTAGAGGCTTAACCTAAGTCAGTGGTGGAGGGGGAGTTATTGCAAGCTCCTCCAGGGAGCTCTGGCTTCTTGCAGGCTTTCCTTCATGCAGCCATCATGTGGGGACCCAAAGTTTGACATGGTGATGCATTGGGTTGTTTTGCGCTTTGAATCTGTCATCTGTTAAATCAGTGCTTCTTTTCTATTCTGAGCAAGGTTAGAAAACAGTAAAGCATTAGTGCCTCTTATTTCTTGGACATGATTAGGAATCCAGGTCAGGAGAGAAGGATACTGGGCCCTCCCAGAGCTCTTTCCAAGTTGTCCTCAAAATGTAGCAATGACTCTTTGGGAAGGAGAAACAAATTGGTGAAGACGAAGCAGAAAAGAATCTTGGGATCTTAGGCTAATACAGGCTTAGCTGATTCATATTAGTGTGTGAATATGGTTGATTATTAATGTAGGTTATTTCAGATCAAAGGACAAGGTCCAGAGCAAGGGAGATAAGCAGAGTCTGAAAAATCATTGGTTCATTTAGGGAAAAATCCCAACGTGTACAAACAATTCATTATTGTTGCTTTAACTCCCTCCAGGATGGCTGACCCTCTTCCTGCGTTTCAGAGAGTTTCTACAGGGCTTTTCTTCTTGTCTCTTTGGGGCATTGTTGTAGGTGACAAGCTCCTGGCAGTCCCCTTGGATGGAAGCCATTGGCTTAGTATGAAGGATATACTTGAGCATCTCAGTGGCAGGGGGCATGAAATCGTGGTGCTGGCACCAGAAATCAATTTGCTTTTGAAAGAATCTAAGTACTACACAAGAAAACTCTACCCAGTGAGCTATAGCCAAGAAGAGCTGGAGGACCGCTTCCGCTCCTTCGGGAACCATCACTTTGCTGAGAGAACATACGTTACCGCTGCTCTCACGGAGTATAGGAACAACATGATCGTGATTGACATGTGGTTCTTCAACTGCCAGAGCCTCCTGAAGGACTCAAACACCCTGAACTTCCTCAGGGAGAGCAAGTTTGATGCTCTGTTCACAGACCCGGGGCTCCCCTGTGGTGTGATCCTGGCAGAGTACCTGCAGCTGCCCACCGTGTACCTCTTCAGGGGCTTCCCTTGCTCCCTGGAGCATGTGTTCAGCAACACCCCAAGCCCTGTGTCCTACATCCCCAGATGCTACACAGAGTTCTCTGACCATATGACCTTTCCCCAACGAGTGATCAACTTCCTAGTTAGTTTTTTGGAGAACCTGTTATTTCATTGTCTGTATTCAAAGTATGAAGTCCTGGCCTCGGATCTCCTCAAGAGGGACGTGCACTTACCCTCCTTATTTCAGAAGGATCCTGTGTGGCTGTTAAGATATGACTTTGTGTTTGAGTACCCCAGGCCAGTCCTGCCCAACATGGTCTTCATTGGAGGGACCAGCTGCAAGAAATCAGGAGCCCTGTCTCAGGTTGGTGGGGTCACCTTTTTTGGATCTCCCCATGTCTTCCTGGGCATGTGCTCTTTTTATGGGCTCTGTCTCCTGAGCTCATTCAGCTCCTGCACCTGGCTCTCACCTGACAGGTTGTTGGAAGGAAGAAAGAGTTGTGGGAAGGGTGTTAGGCTGGGAGAAGGAGGGCATGTAGACCGGGGGCTGCAGTAGCACTCAGACATTAGAAGGAACAGAAGGCTCAGGCTTGCGACATGTTTAGCTGGGTTGTCTGGGGACAACCAGTGAACCATCATGTGAGTCTTGGAAATGTTGCAGTGCAAACAGAAGTGAAGGCTTGACCCAGGTCAACACCCCTTCTTTCACCTCTGCCCCACACTTTGTCCTGGGCTCCAAGCCAGAGCCAGCAAAGGACACCCAGGGGATGCATCTGTCCATGTGCCTGTTTTTATCTGGCCCCTGGCTACACATATTCTATAGTTTGGTAGGGATGTTAACAACACAGGGATGGTATAAGAGGTATATATATGGCCCCAAAAACTTAGTTATGTACTATTTGGCTTTCACAGGGGAGGTGTGCTGACCTAAGGCAAGTCTGTCTTCCTTCCTTCCTTCCTACCTTCCTTCCTTCCTACCTTCCTTCCTTCCTTCCTTCCTTCCTTCCTTCCTTCCTTCCTACCTTCCTTCCTTCCTACCTTCCTTCCTTCCTACCTTCCTTCCTTCCTTCCTTCCTTCCTTCCTTCCTTCCTTCCATCTGTCTGTCCTTTCTTCCTTCCTTTTCTTTTGTCCTCCCTTCCTCTCATTTTCTTTTGTCCTCCCTTCCTCTCATTTTCTTTCTTCCTCTTTCTTTCTTTCTTTCTTTCTTTCTTTCTTTCTTTCTTTCTTTCTTTCTTTCTTTCTTTCTTTCTTTTATTTTGTGGTACTAGGGGTTGAACCCAGGGCCTTCACATTGAGCTATATCCCTACTCCACTTCCTTTTTTAGGAGGCAGAGTATTGCTAAATTGCCTAGGCTGGGTTCAGCCTTACAATTCTCCCGCCTCAGCCTTCCAGAATGGTGGGATTGCAGGTGTGCACATTAAGGCAAGTGCTTCTATGAGCTTTCCTGAAATAAAGCCCAGAGTTGTTAGCATATAATGACCTATAAAATTTGTTTTTTAATGGACATATAACATAAAAATCATGTATTTGAACATAGGGTTTGATGCAGGTATAATTTCTTAATGTTTACATCAGTATAAACATATTTTATCTCCTCAAACCTTTTATAAGTTGTGTGTGATAAAAATATTTGAGGTTTTCCGTTAATTCAAATATTCAGATCTTTCAAGGGTTTAAGGCTATTCCTGTGTGTCATAACAGAATTTCTCTTTTCAATCAATTTTTCATCGGAGAGAAAGCCTCACACAGGTCCCCGGGTCCTCACTGTTCTTCTTTACCACTGGCTGAGTTCTCGGTTCTGTATCTGGCAGCAGCTGCTGTGAAACTGGAGGGGCTTGGAGGAGCATAACTGAACCAATTCCAGGACGTTGGGGGCCTGAAGTGGGAACTCTGAGTGCCAGGAAAAGTTAATTAAGAAGCTGATAAGCAAAAGTCATCCACTTATTTAACATCTATTTTTATCTTTTGAAAAGTTTTGTCTCTTTATACCAAATGTTTCTTTGGAATAAGAAAAAATAAGGTAACTAATAATTAATAAGCAAATAAAGTAACCACCCCCATTTTGGAAAAAAAAAAAAAGCGTTCTTTGTCATCATACTGGAAAACCAGCACCTAATCTGTGTGACTCTGATCGTTGCGAACCGTGATCCTGAATCTGTGGCTTGTTATTTGCATGGCCACAGTGATTCCAGCATGTCACCGTGGGGAACATTTTGCCTTAACCATTTCCAGTTACTTTCTGTCACTAGGATTAAGATAAAGTGACCACAGCCACAATTATTTTGTCAAATAATCAAAGTGTTTTCAATACTGTGAAAAAAATAAAAACATGCTTTCACAGCTATTGCAGGGATGTGGAACCAGACAGAGGCGGTGGCTGAAATGTTCTAGAAGCCACCAAATTCTTCATGTTAAAATGGCCAACTGTGGGCCAATGTGTAGCTCAGGGTCTGAACTCTTCCGCTTGTGTTTATGGGCCCAAAGTGTAACATCTCGCACCATACACAAAAACAGTTTAATTGATAGTATGTGATCTCACTTCAAAGTTATTTTAAAGAGAAGGCATTTCAAAACAAAGCACTAATTCATAGCTTAAAAGTATTCTCTTACTAAGAAAGCCAAGCCACAAAATTGCCAAGTCATTCTAAACAGGCACTTTTTTCAAACCCTTAACCTAGATCAGTGCGTGTAAGGAATTTAATCTTTGACTGTCGTTTCATAATTTTCTTTTTGTAACTGCCTTATGTACTAGAAAAAGAAAATATTGGCAGCAGTGTTCTTGTTAATAAGTTATTATGTAAAGTGTGCTAAGTGATAGAATGACTAAGGGTTTTTTAAGATACTGGGTATGAGCAGCTAAAACACCAGAAACTTGGCGTAGTAATAATTTAGATAATGTTAGAGTGAGATTTAGGGATTATTAAAAATTATGTATCTTTGGACCGTCTCCTCATTGGATTTAAAGAAGAACCAACTTTATTGAATCATAACTCACGTGCATATAATTCATTCATGTAATATTTACAGTATAATGATTTTACATTCACAGATTTGTGCTGTTATCAGAACAATCAATTTGATGACATTTTTAATCATTTGCAAAATATTCTGTCACCCCCCTCATACGCTGCTCTCCCTTGGCCATGGTAACCACTAATTTACTTCTATGTCTGTGGATTTGCCTGTTCTGGCTATTTTTTTTTCCCTTAGCATAAAGTTTTCAGAGTTCTACTGGTTTGTTGCATGATTCTTTATTGCTAAATAATATTCCAGTCCATTTAAAAATTCATTTATTATTTATTTTGCTATTGTGAGTAGTGTTGCTTGAGCATTTTTGTGCAAGTTTTTATTTGAATATATTATGAATTGTTGGACTGGATGTTTAGGAGGGGAACTATTAGATTGTATGGGAGTTCTATGTTCAAATTATTGAGGAACCAACAAACTGTCTCACAATGGTTATAACATTTTATTCTTCTACCAGCAATGCAGGAGGCTTCTCATTTCTTCACATCTTTGCCAACACTCATTATTTTCCATTTTTTATTAGAAATATTAACACATTAAACTGTACAAATGGATTTCAGTGTGACATTTCTATACCTGCATATAACATGACTGTGTCTACCATCCATTCTCATCCTAGTAGGTTTGAAGCATGATCTCATGGTTTTCACTTTTATTCTCTTGAAGATTATCAGTGATCAGCACCTTTTCACATACTTATTGGACACCCAAATATCTGATTCTTTGAAGAAAGATCTGCTCTAGTCCTTTATACATTTTGGTTCTTTTTTATTGAGTTGCCAATGTGCTTTATATAATCTGAGTACAATTTCCTTATCAGTTAGGTAGGTAGATAGATTTGATGGATATGATATAAAATTGTTTGCTCCTATTTGGTGGGTTTTCTTTTTCACTTTCTGGATGGCATTTTTAAGCACCAAAGTTTTAAATTTTAATCAAGTGTAATTGACTTTTTGCTTTCATTGCCTATGCTTTTGGTGTCATATTTTTAAACAATCATTGCCAACCACAAGATCAAGAAGATTTTCACTACTTTTTCTTCTTAGAATTACAGTTTTGGCCCCTTATACCTACATCTATGAGCCATTTTGAGTAAATTTTGTGTAGGGTATAAGTTAAGGGCTCAACTGATATTCAGTTGTCTCAACATCATTTATTGAAAAATATGACTCTTTCCCCATTTGAATTCTCTTGAAATCTATGCAGAAAAATCACTTGACTATAAATGTGAGGGTTTGTTTTTAGACTCTCAATTCCCTTCTCAATCAATTTGTTCATCTTTATGTCAATGCCTTTTGATCTGGATTAGTATAGATTTTTAGTAAGCTAACATGGGGAGTCATGAATCTGTCAATTTTCTACTCTTTTCCAAGACTATTTTAGCTATACATGGTGGTTTGAGTTTCCATGTGACTCTTTAAGAATCACGTTGTCAGTTTCTGCACAGAAATTGGAATTTTGACAGAAATTGTGTTAAAAGTTTGTAGAAGTAGTTGAGGAATATTTCATTTTAACTATTAAATCTGTGATTCATGAAAGTGGCCTTTTTTGTTTATTAAATCTTTAATATCTTTGTGTACTGTCTCATACTTTTTAGTATAATCCTCATACTTAAGATGACCTGTTCTTAAGTAGCTTATTCTTTTTGATACTATTTTAAGTGGAAGTATTTTCTTAACTTTAATTTTGGATTTTTCATGGCTAGCAAATGGAAATACAATCAAGTTTTATATATTGATCTTGTTTCTTTTAGCCTTGATGAACTTGCTTATTTGTTCTGATAGTTTTTTAATCAAAAAATCAGATTTCTTGGGGTTTTATTTAAAAAATCAGATCTTGGAGATCATAGAAAATTATGATTATTTTATCTAGAGATAGAGATAGCTTTACTTCTTTACTTTTTTTTTTTTTGAGACAGAGTATTGCTGTATAGTTCAGGCTGGCCTTGAACTCACTATGTAGCCCAGGCTGACCTCAGACTCACAGCAAACCTCCTGCCTCAGCCTAGAAGGTGGTAGGATTACAGGCATGTGCCAGCACACCAGGCATAGCTTTAGTTGTTCCTTTCCAGTCTGGGAACCTCTAGAACAATATTGTATAGAAATAGGAGGGAAGACATTTTTTTTCTTGGAATAGTAAGAGACTTTTTGGAAGAAGCTCAAATGATAAGATTGAAGAAATGATCATCTGTTCTTAGCTTGTCAATTAGTCTCCTTAGAAATGGGCTGTTGGAGTTTGTCAGCTGCTTTTTCTGTCTATTAAGATAAATATGTAGGGTTTCTCCTTTCAGTGTGTGGTATGTATATTATAGTACTTGATGTTCTGGTATTAAATC